AAATCCAGAAAATAGCTCTCCCTCCGAATCATCCCGACTTGGCTGCTTCCTACAACAACATCGGGTTGGTGTATAATAACATGGGCGAGTACTCGAAAGCACTTTCATCGTATGAACGATCACTTGAAATCCAGAAAATAGCTCTCCCTCCGACTCATCTCGACTTGGCTACTTCCTACAACAACATCGCTGTGGTGTATGATAAAATGGGCGAGTACTCAAAAGCACTTTCAGCGTATGGACGATCACTTGAAATCCAGAAAATAGCTCTCCCTCCGAATCATCCAGGCTTGGCTCGTTCCTACGAAAACATCGGTAATGTGTATAATGACATGGGCGAATACTCGAAAGCACTATCATCGTATGAACGATCACTTGAAATCAAGAAAATAGCTCTCGCTCCGAATCATCCCTCCTTGGCTTACACTTACAACGGTATTGGGTTGGTGTACGATAAAATGCGAGACTATTCGAAAGCACTATCATACTTTGAGAAAGCACGTGGTATTTGGGAAAAGGCTCTCCCTTCAAATCATTGGTATATTTCACATGTAAAAGGAAACATTGAAAATGTAAAAAAGAAAATGCAATTCTTTTTTTTCGATTTTAAAGACAAAATAAACTGGCAATCTTGAAATCTAAGCTCGCCGAGGCAAGCAGCCGCAAAATTTCGCGCACACGCGACCAGAGATACCCTCCGTATTCTGCTGGCTCGTACAGTGGACAAAGCCGGCAATCGTTAGGCAAACATACGTGGATGAATATACGAATAGTACGACCATGATCATCATCTTCGAAAAGACGATGACGAAATGGACGCTTCTATTCATACATCCATCGATGTATGCTATGAAGGCCTATCATCTGCACGTGTCACCAACAGAACGTCGGATATCCCTGGGAAGGTTCATTTGTCTTAGAGCCACCCTCAAAACCTCCATTGGTTAGAAAATTATTTTTATTCTTCTCTTAAGAAGAACGAGAAGAAGCAGAAACGGAAGAAAGAAAAGGTATGAAAACTGAAAGACGCGATGAAAGACGACGCAACGAAATGATAATACGCAGCGCATGATAACAACTGATGTTTGTCAAGCAATGGAATATTGAGTGCACAATATCTTTGTTGTCTTTAAACATTTCATGTTCAATTCGTCTGTGTTTTCATCTCGAATGTGTAAGGATAACTTGCATGTCGTGCACTCACCATTCTAGCAAACAAACGATGATTGAATGAAACGGCGGATAAAAACAATACATTCGCCGTCAATTTGAGTAATAACTCATGCACTACATATTAAAATACAGATAAAGAATAGAAAAAAAGGAAAGTTACAAGTATTTTTTTTATACTTTATGATGGTATATGATGGTTATATTAACATTGATGTTCTAAAAGAACAAAAGTTATTCGAAAGATACTTATCAGACTTTCTGTTATTAAATGAGCTTTAATATGAATATGCCATAAGAAAATAAAAAGTATAAATATTTTTCTTTATGTTTTCATGAAACAATTCTTAAATTATTTAAACTTAAAAAAAAACTTTTATTAGATAAGGAAAATGTAATCAACAAATTTCATAGATATTTTATGTGAATAATTGAATTTGTATTTAAAAAAGATTTGCTCTTTAACTTCAACAAACTTACGAACAAAATATGTTTTTTATTGAAAATGATCAATAATTCGATGTTCTTGCTACTTCTATTTAGGATTATGAAATCATTTTTTCACATCTTATTTCGATTAACATTAACATATTTTTTTTTGAAGGTTACAATTGAAGATTACGAATATTATTTTGATCAATTTTAATTTTTAATAGTTATTTATTATATTCACAATAAGATCTTAATTTCAGTTCTAAAATATTAAAAAAATTATAAAAAATTAAATGATCACATAGGTAATTTATGAAAAAGCTTTCATTTTATCTTTAAATATTATCTTGGGATGATATTAATATCAATGTTAATCGATGTGATACTTCAATTTTAACGTATTTTATTCGATAAGTTTTTTATTTAGGTTTAACAACTTGACCAACACTTTGCTTATGTTTTGATTGATTTTTATAAAATGAAACATTAAAAATCATTGTCTGTTTATAAAATTTGAAGGTTAATAATTAAACATAGTTTTATTCTCTATCACACCGACACCCTGTAAAATTCATGCTTGATTTCTGATGATCATAATCAACGATATGGTTTACCTTTTTGAGTTAAACCTAATAGCTAATTTCTAGCCAAGAAAAAGGAGACATTTCTGTATTTTCAATAACTCATCTGACACTTTGTACTGTAAGATGATTTCTAAAACAAATCGTTTTCGTAAAACATTTCAAAAAATAACCTAACGATGTTCCACTTTGATGTAAGTTCAATTTTTGACATCTGCTTCAGTTTCACAGTTCTAGGTACGTTTCAGATGATTGACTTCTCACAATTTTTTCATTATTAAAATTTACTTGAGATTAAATAACTTTTTCATCTATGTTCTTGAATTTTTTGCAAGGAGTATAGATTTCAAAATAATTGTCTCTTTAATAGTATCAGATGAAAAGATTTCTAATAGAGTTGTCTTA